GGCGTTTCCCGAGGCGGCGGTTCCCACGGAGGCGGCTACCAAAGAGGCGGTCCCCACGGCGGTTCCCAAGGCGCCAGCGGTTCCCACGGGCGGTTCCCTCGGAGGCGGCTCCCACGGCGGCGGCCCCCACTAGGGCGGCTCCCACGGCGGCGGTTCCCACGGAAGCGGTTCCCACGGTGGCGGCCCCCACGGCAGTTCCCAAGGAGGTGGTTCCCGTGGTGGCGGTTCCCATGGCTCCCATGGCGGCGACTCCCGCCGCGGTGACTCATCGAAGCGGGTCCCCCGAACGACCACCGAAGCGACCGTGGCGGCAGCTTCCACGGCTGTGGCCCCCACGACGGCGGTTTCCACACGGAGACGACTCCTACAGCGGCAGTTCCCACGGCGGCGGCCCCCAAGACGGTGGCTCCCACGGCGGCCACCACGGCGGCTCCCACGGCGGCAGCTCCCACGGCGGCGCCTCCCAAAGCAGCGGCCCCCACGGCTGTTCCCAACGCATCGGATCCCACGAAAGCGGCTCCCACGGCGGCGGCCCCCTCGGCGGCAGTTCCCATTCAGGCGGTGCCCACGGCGGCGGTTCCCGCGGCGGCGCCTCCGACGGCGGAGGCTCTCGCGGCGGCTCCCAAAGCGGCTCCCGCGGAGACGACTCCCACGGCGGCGGCTCCTACGTTAGCATATCCCACGCAAGCGGCCCCTACGCATCCAAAGGAGTTCTTACGTCGGCAGTTTCCGCGCGGCGGTTCCTACGCAGGCGGCTCCCATGCGCGGCGAATCATACGCTGGCGAAACGCAAAGCGACCACTGACGCACTGTACGACGACCCGAAGGCGCTCGACCAAGCGGAGGAACGGCGGCTCCCACAGGCGGTGGCTCCTTCGTGGCGGTTCCCACATGTGGGCGATGGCGGCCATGGGCATCGCTCCAGTTCCTCCAGGTCTGTGGTGCATGGGACAAGTCGCTCCTGTCTCACTCGAAGATGCTGCGGCACGCCGCGGGGTTCAACAACACTCGCCGCAGTGCGCTGCGAAGTCCATGCTGGTGCTGCACACCAGCGTGGTCGGTTCCCCGCCTGTGCACAAATTGATTGTCCTTCGGCATCCACGTGACAATAACATCATCAGCATGGCCATGACCATCACCACCACCACCATCATCATCATCATCATCATCATCATCATCATCATCATCATCATCATCATCATCATCATCATCATCCTCATCATCATCATCATCATCATCATCATCATCATCATCAGCATCAGCATCAGCTCAGCATCATCATCATCAGCATCATCAGCATCATCATTCATCAGCATCATCATCATCATCATCATCATCATCATCATCATCATCATCATCATCATCATCATCATCATCATCATCATCATCATCATCATCATCATTATCAACCATTAAGCATCATCATCGTCATCATCAGCAGCGTCATCAGCAGCATCATCATCAGCAGCAAAATCATCATCATCAATATCAGCATCATCACCTTCATCATCATCATCACCACCACCACCACCACCATCATCATCATCATCATCATCATCATCATCATCATCGTCATCATCAGCATCACCATTACCACCATCATCATCAGCAGCATCATCATCAGCACAATCATCAGCAGCAGCAGCATCAACATTATAATCATCATCAGCATCATCAGCATCATCAGCATCATCAGCATCATCAGCATCATCAGCAGCATCGTCATCATCCTCATCATCCTCATCATCATCATAATCATCATCAGTAGCATCATCATCAGCATCACCATCGTCGTCGTCATCGTCACCATCGCAATCATCATCATCATCGTCATCAGCATCATCATCAGCATCATTATCATCCCCACCACCACCACCACCACCACCATCATCATCATCATCAATGTATAATCATCATATAATCATCGTCCTGATCAGCATAATCATGATCATCATCGAGAGAGCGTGATCCATCGCCGCTTTACTGTGGAAAATTACCCCCTTATTCCTTCGGAACCCGGGGGTCCCCCCCCCTCCGAAAATTCCCCCCCCCTGCTCGAACCCCACCCCTCCCCCCTCCCCTCCCCTGGCAGAAGCCCCCCCCTAACCCCTCCCCCCCGCTCGCTTCTCCGGAAAACCGGGGGGGGCCACTACCGGTTCGAACCCCCTCCCCCACCCCACCCCCTCCAGAGAACCGAGCGGAGACACTACTGGTTCAAATCCCCATCCCACCCGCCCGTCGCCGCCGACAAAAGACTCCCGGGTCCCCACCACCGTCCTCACCACCGCCCTCACCGCTGTCCCCACCACCACCGTCCCCACCACTGTCCGACTGTCCCCACTGTTCCCATCACTGTCCTCACTGTCCCCACCAATGCCCTCACCACCGTCGCACAATCCCCACCACGGTCCCAGTCCCCCCCCGTGTCCACACTGTCCCCACCAGTCCCACTGCCCTCAGTCCCCACCACTGTCCCCACTGTCCCCACTATCCGCGCCGCTGTCCCACTGAGCTGTCCCACTGTCCCCACCACTGTCCCACTGTCCCCACCACTCTCCCCGCTGCACCACTGTCCCATTGTCCCACCACGGTCCTCACCACCGCCCTCACCACTGTCCCCACCACCACCGTCCCCACCACCACCGTCCCCGCCACTGTCCCACTGTCCCCACCACTGTCCCAGTGTCCCCCCACCACTGTCCCCACCCACCCCCACCACTGTCCCCCACCACTGCCCCACTGTCCCCACTGATCCCACCACTGTCCCCACTTTCCCCACCAGTGCCCCCACCACTGTCCCCAGTGTCCCCACCAGTGTCCCCACCACGATCCCACTCTCCCCACTGTCCCAACTGTCCCCACCACTGTCCCAGTGTCCCCACTGACCCCACCACTGTCCCACTGTCCCCACCACTGTCCCACTGTGCTGCCCCACTGTCCACACTGTCCCCTCCACCGTCCCACTGTCCCCACTGTCCCCACCACTCTCCCCACTGTACCACTGTCCCACCACCGTCCTAACCACCGCCCTCACCACTGGCCCCACCACCACCGTCCCCACCACTGTCCCACTGTTGTCCCCACCACCACCGTCCCCACCACTGTCCAACTGCCCCCGTTGTCCCCACCACTGTCCCACAGTCCCCACCACTGTCCCCACTGTCTCCGCCAGTGCCCCCACCACTGTCGCACTGCCCCCACTGTCTCCGCCAGTGCCCCCACCACTGTTCCCACAGTCCCCACCACGGTCCCGCTCTTCCCACTGTCCCCACTCCCCACCACCATCCCCACCACCGTCCCAACCACCGTCCCCACCAGTCCCCCATCCGGAGTGGGAGAGGAGGGGGAGTCGTTGCGGCGAGGGGGGAGGGGGAGGAGGGGAAGGGGGGGTCCGAACCGGTAATGATCCGCCCCGGTTTTCCAGGAGGGTGGGGGTGGGGGAAGGGGTTCGAACTGGTAGTGACACCCCCCCTTTTCATGATGGACCCGGGGGCGGGAGGGGAAGGGGGGGTTGGAACCCCCAGTGACCCCCCCGGTTTTCGAGAGGGGGGGGAGACGGGTTGGAAATCCCCAGTGACAACCCTGGTTTTCTGCCAGCAACGGTAGAACAAGCATCATCATCATCATCATCATCATCATCATCATCATCATCATCATCATCATCATCATCATCATCATCATCATCATCATCATCATCATCATCATCATCATCATCATCATCATCATCATCATCATCATCATCATCATCATCATCATCATCATCATCATCATCATCATCATCATCATCATCATCATCATCATCATCATCATCATCATCATCATCATCATCAGCATCAGTCATCATCATCATCATCATCATCATCATCATCATCATCATCATCATCATCATCATCATCATCATCATCATCATCATCATCACCATCATCATCATCATCATCAGCAGCAGCAGCATCAGCATCAGCATCAGCATCAGCATCATTATCATCATCATCAGCATCATCAGCATCATCGTCAGCAGCATCATCATCATCATCATCAGCAGCATCAGCATCATCAGCAGCATCATCATCATAATCAGCATCAGCATCATCATCTCCATCATCATCATCATCATCATCATCACCATCATCATCATCATCATCATCATCATCATCATCTTCATATTCATCATCATCACCATCATCATCAGCAACAGCATCAGATTCATCATCATCATCATCAGCAGCAGCAGCATCCGTATCTTTGTCAGCATCATCAGCATCACCATCATCGGGATCATCATCATCATCATCACCATAATCATAATAATCATCATTATCATCATCAGCACAACTATCACTACGGTCGTCATCATCATCATCATAATCAGCACCATCATCATCATCATCATCATAATCATCATCATCATCATCATCATCATCATCATCGTCGGCATCATCATCATCAGCATCAGCATCAGCACAAGCATCATCACCATCACTAGCATCACCATCATCATGATCATCATCGGCAGCAGCAGCAGCAATCAGCATCAGCATCAGCATCATCATCTACAACAACATCATCATCGTCAGCATACCCAACAGGATCAGCATCAGCATTACCATCATCATCGTCATCAACGTGATCGTCTGATCACAATCGTGATGATAATTCTCACTCATCCCCCTTCTTGCCCATTCCCGAACCTCTTCCGGGCCTCCTCTCTCCCCAAGACCCCCTCCCACTCGCCGCCACAAGTTGGGAAAAAATCAGAAAGCCGCTCAGCCCGAAGATTTGGTCTGCTCTCGGGACCAGCTGCCCCTGAGATCCAACGTTGAAACAAAAAAAATGCAACGTCGCAACAACAACCAACAAAAAAAAACGGAGCCATAGACCCCATCCTTCTAATGCATTTTCCTGGCAGAATCGGTTTGTGATGATCCCGGAGCCCGACACTGGGCGAAATCGCCCAGTAATCAAAAACTGCAACGCCTGAATCTTAGGAGATAACGAAGGACCTTGTCCATCAGCCCGTTGTCTGCGAAGGTGGCCACGACAGACTTGAGGCACGAGGCGTCGGGCCGCATCCCGCAGGCGTATATCCTCTCGAGCCAGGGCTCGACACTGAACGCGTCGCCGGTGCCCCTGACGGCACGCAGCACCATGTTGAAGCTCTCCAGCGTTGGCTCGAGCCCGGCCGCCTCTAAAGAGAAAAAAGCCGCACAAGCGGGAACTTTCGGAGGTAGTCGCCGTCGTCGTCGTCGTCGTCGTCGTCGTCGTCGTCGTCGTCGTCGTCGTCGTCGTCGTCGTCGTCGTCGTCGTCGTCGTCGTCGTCGTCGTCATCGTCGTCGTCGTCGTCGTCCCCCTTCAGGGTCGGCTGCACCGGCCGCAAGGCCTTGGCAATAAACTTTCGGAGGTCCGCGCGGATTTCTTGGATCGGCGCTGGGCCCCCCGGCGGCTTCTCTGGCGCCGCCCCTGGCGCGCTCCACGCGCCAGGGAGGGGTGCCCTGCGCCGATCCAAGAGATCCGCGCGAACCTCCAGAAGATTACGCGTATGGCGTCTTTGCTCCCTCGGGCCTCGATGTCCTCGATGATCTGGCCAGCTCCACTTGCATCCTTGGCCTCGGCCGCCACCTTGAGGAGCGCGTTGAAGGTCGATATGTCGGGCTGCACCTCCAGCGCCTGCATGCGGAACAGCCACCTGCTGGGCGGGATGAGGAGAAAAGGAAAAAGGAGGAGGAGGAGGAGGAACAGTGCAAACCCAAGAGTCACCAACGATGTGGGAATAAACCCTCCCCCAAGCTCCCTCTTCATAGGCCCCTACGGCGGTTCATTTCCACTGAGGGACCTGCCTCGTTGGAAGACAGCCGTTTGAAGACCCTGAAGCATGCCAAAACACTGTTCTCGGGATTCCAACGCCACACATAGACCTGACTGTTGCGTCTTGACGATCCTGAATCGCGCCAGGACGCCATTCCTGGGATGCCAGCACAGCAAATCATCGTACCTGTTGCGCCCTCATAATAGTCGTGAACCCTTCCAGAACGCCACTTCTGATACGTCGAGCATGGAAACCCGTGAAACTCTTGCAACTGTTTTATAAGACTAAGGCGGGAGCCACAATTTGAAAAGGAACCGCCCTCAGTCTGTGATACTCTTGCAATATGTTCAAACGAATGTGCGCGGCGCTAAAAGCGAGAGCCACATTTTGAAAACCACCCTCAATCCGTAAACTTCTTGCAAAGTCTAAAATAGAATGCGCGCGGCGCTAAGGCGAGAGCCAAATTTTGAAAACGACCCGCCCTCAATGCGCGAAACTCTTGCAATGTTTTACAACGAATGTGCGCGGCGCTATGGCGAGAGCCACATTTTCAAAACCACCCGCCCTCAACCCCGAAACGATTGCAATTGTTTCAAACGAATGTGCACGGCGCTGAGGCGAGAGCCACATTTTGAAAACCATCCACCCTCAATGCGTAAAAATTCTGCGAATGTTGAAAAGGAATGTGCGCGGCGCCAAGGCGAGAGCCTCATTTTGAAAACGACCAGCCCTCCATGTGTGAAACTGTTGTCTCCGTTTAAGCTTCAGGCTCATAAATGATGAGGAAGTCTCAGGCGAAACGCCCGGCCCGCCCTAAAAACTGGCCTCGGGGTGCGACAGGCAGAAGTTATTTATGAGGAGAAGGAATAAAAGAAAAAGGACCGCATGCGGCAACGAGAGCGATCCCTAAGACCCAGCCGCATGCGCTATGGATCGCCGCTCGAACTCGAAGAGAGGCCGCCACAAGGTCTGGAAGCCCCAGTGTGGACACGGGCAGCACGTCCTGCCTCAGCCTCCGTCTCCCTCCTCTTGTCCACGTCGTTGTTATCATCATCATCATCATCATCATCAGCATCATCATCATCATCATCATCATCATCATCATCAGCATCATCATCAGCATCATCATCAGCATCATCATATTCATCATCATCATCATCATCATCAGCATCATCATCATCGTTATCATCATCATCACCATTATCATCCTCATCATCAGCACCAGCATCATCATCATCAGCAGCATCATCATCCGCATCATCATCATCATAATCAGCATCATCACCACCATCATCAGCAGCATCATCATCGTCATGTTCATCTTAGTGACCTTATGATTTGTCATCATCATCGTCCTAGTCGTAGTCCTAGTCCTCGTGGTGGTGGTTATCGCCGCCATCATGTTCATCATCATCACATTCATCTCCATCATCATCATCACCACCACCACGACCATCACCACCACCGTCACCATCACCATCACAATCAACATCACCAACATCCTCATCGTCCTCCCTGGCGCTCCTGCAAGCTCATGTGGCTTCCTCTGGCCCGAGAAAGTCCCAGGAGGGCACAGGAAGCCCCTCCGCTGCTACGTCTTCCTCCTACTCATAATGCCTCCTCTCCTTCTCCTCCTCCTCCTCCTCCTCCTCCTCCTCCTCCTCCTCCTCCTCCTCCTCCTCCCCCTCCTCATCCTCATCCTCCTCCTCCTCCTCCTCCTCCTCCTCCTCTTCTTCCTCCTCCTGTCTCCTCTTCATCACCATCTCCCCACCCCCCTCTTCAACCTCGACTCCTCGTCCTTATAAATCCGCCGGCCCCCTTGTGGGGCCACCAGGCTGCGAGGCGCGGGTTCGCAGCTTCCAGTACTAGTTGTAGCTTGTAGTTTCCAGTGTTACAGTTCTGCTTCTTGCTGGTCACTGTAACTAGTTGATTGACCGCGCGAGGGGGGGAGGCACAAACAGGATTTTTAGCACCCCCTGGGCGCATTGTCTGAATTGCTGGGGGGCTCGAAATCGACACCCCTCACGCAGATCCGCGGGGTCAGGGTCCAAAAACACAGGGGATGTGCCACATTTCTGAAATTCGGTGCCACCCCTCACGCAGATCCGCGGGGTCAGGGTCCAAAAACACATGGGATTTGCCACATTTCTGAAATTCGGTGCCACCCCTCACGCAGATCCGCGGGGTCAGGGTCCAAAAACACAGGGGATTTGCCACATTTCTGAAATTCGGTGCCACCCCTCACGCAGATCCGCGGGGTCAGGGTCCAAAAACACAGGGGATTTGCCACATTTCTGAAATTCGGTGCCACCCCTCACGCAGATCCGCGGGGTCAGGGTCCAAAAACACAGGGGATTTGCCACATTTCTGAAATTCGGTGCCACCCCTCACGCAGATCCGCGGGGTCAGGGTCCAAAAACACAGGGGATTTGCCACATTTCTGAAATTCGGTGCCACCCCTCACGCAGATCCGCGGGGTCAGGGTCCAAAAACACATGGGATTTGCCACATTTCTGAAATTGCCACCCCTCACGCAGATCCGCGGGGTCAGGGCCAAAAACACAGGGGATTTGCCACATTTCTGAAATTCGGTGCCACCCTTCACGCACATCCATCGCAAGGCGTGGTAACCCAAACTGCGAGAACTCCCTCGGCCCTTTAATCGCAAGGTGTGGTAACCAAGCCCGTAAACCATACACGTCTTACCAATCGCCAGGTGTGGTAACCCCTCTTGTGATCAGTTGGTTTTGCTGATTGCGAATCGGCTTCGCATGAAGTTTCGATACTGCTTCACGACAGCGCCAAGGCCTCATGACTTAGCTCTTCCATGGCCCATTCTCCGAGAGAGGGGGCCGGCGGCAGGGGGCGAAGCCCTTACGGATAACTCCTCCTAGCCACACCATCAGGCGGGTCGGTCGGGCAAGCCACGCATTACGCCTGAGACTTCCCCACTTAGGATCCTGGTGCTTGGAATTTCCAGCAGCTACACGGATGGAGGGTGACTGGATTTCAAAATGAAGCTAACACCTTTAGCGGTCAGCAAGCTCATCTTAAAAACTTCCAACACTTACATGGACGGAGGGCAGTCCGTTTTCAAGATGTGGCTATCGCCGAGGTGCCGCGGCTACTTTTCAAAATGTGGCGCTCGCTTGAACCTGCGTCAAATGCAATACAACAAATTTAGCACTGAGAAGAGGTGACAAACATGGAAAGCGGCCCCTTTGTCCAAAATGAAACTCCCGTTTAAGAAGCAATCGAGAATGATCCCCATGGGCAAAACTGTGAAACGACTGCATGGATGGATGGGGGCCGGCTCAGATTCACAACGGGGCCTTCGACAGGCACTTCCTTGAGCTGTATGACCCCACCTCTTCACACACCTTACAGCTAGAAGGATGCATGGCGCAATGGCAGCTGAAAGGATCTCATGCTGGAAAGATGCCTTGCGTATGCCTAACAGCACACGGACGGCCGTTCCTTTTGTAAAGCTGCTCGTGGCCCCGAACACTGAAACAACCAACAGCTTCACGGATGGTGAAAGGTCGTTTTCCAAATGTGCCTCTCGCCTGGGTGCGCACACTTGTCCTTGCAGCCTCTAGCACTTTTACGGATGGAGCGGGGTCCTTTTCAAAACGTGGCCCCCGCCCTGCACCGCGCACATTTGTCTGAACGTTTCCAACGGCTACACGGGTGGTGGGGGGTGGTTCTCAAAATGTGGCTCTGCTTCAGCGTCGCACACGATCGTTTAACAAGTGACCAACAGCCACACGGATAGAGAGGGGTTCTAAATGTGGTTCTCGCCGTAGCGCCGCGAGCATGTGGTCTACAAATTGCAAACAGTTACACGGATGTGGTGGGCCGCTTTCAAAAAGGTGGCCTTCACCTTAGCGAGCGTCGCGCAAATTACACTTTAAAGCTTGCAACCGGTACACAGAAGGAAGGGGGGGTCCAACTGTGGCTATCGCCGTAGCGCCGCGCACATTCGTCTTAAAAGCTTCCAGCTGTTATACGGAAGAGGGGCGGCTCACTTTACAAGTGTGTCTCTAGCCTTAGCGTCGCGCGCATTCGTCTTGACATATTCCAGCAGTTCCAATGATGGAAGGGAACCGTTTCCAAATGTGGCTATCGCCTAAGCGCCGCACGCACTCCTCTCAGCAACTTCCTACTCCTACACGAATTGAGGCTGGCTCCATTTCAAAACGAAACTTACGTGTGAGACTTCCTTAGCCCGTGAAATCAAGTATCAAACATTGTTTCACAGCTACGTGGATCGAGGACGGCACCTTTTCACATTGGGGTTCTCGCTTGGAACTTTGGCCTGTACGAGCAGACATCCAAACCTTCACATTGCATTACGAGGATGCACAGGTTGAGGGCGTTTCTGACTCAAAACGACACTCTCGCTGGACACTTCCTAAGACATTATGAGCATACCTCGTCGATGTCATTATATCTAGTAGCCTCGATGGCAGCTCCGTTGCAACACGGGGCCCTCGCCTGAAATGCAGGACCATGGAACGCTCGTCTTTCAAGGAGACGCTTCCCACAACTCAAATGGCTTACTGTAGGGGCTTCTGAACAAGATACTTTGGACAGGTGGGCGCATTGCAGCATCTTTAATGCAACTTTGGCTTGGACACTCTTGCCCTCCTCCTTCTTCTCCTCCTCCTCCTCCCTCCTCTCTCCTCCTCCCTCCTTCTTCCTCCTCCCTCTTCTTCCCTCCTCCCTCCCCCCTCCTCCCTCCTCGCTCCTCCCTCTCTCATCCTTCCTTCCTCCTCTTCCTCTTCCTCGTCCTCCTCTTCATCCTCCTCCTCCTCATATTCCTCCTCCTCATCCTCCTCCTCCTCCTCCTCTTCCTCCTCCTCCTCCTCCACCTCCTCCTCCTCATCCTTCCTCCTCCTCCTCCTCCTCCTCCTCCTCCCCCTCCCTCCTCCTCCATCCTCCCTCCTCTTCCTTCTCCTCCTCCTCTTCTTCTTCTTAGTATTAGTAGTTATTATGATTAGTAGTCATATTATTAGGATCATTATCATTATTATTATTCTTAGCATTCGTATTATGATTCGTCTTAGTATTATTCGTATTCGTCTTCTTCCTAATACTATGATAGGTAATAATACTAGGTTGTGATTACTAATTTTCTTCCTAGTATTATGATTCGTCTTGATATTATTCTGATTAGTATTATTAGTGTTCTCATTCGTCGTCATAAGATTCGTGTTAGTATTCGTCGTAGTTTTCGCCTCCGTATTATTCTTAGTGTGCGTCTTATACTTCTTGTGGTTATTCGTCCTATTATTCGTATTAGTCGTATTGTTCTTCTTCTTCGCATTAGTATTATGATGATTATTGATTAATATTATTCTTAGCATTAGTAGCCTTGTCCGTCTTAGTATTAGTATTCTTAGTCGTATTAGCATTAGCAGTAGTAGTTGTAGTGGTGGTAGTAGTAGTAGTAGTAGTAGTAGTAGTAGTAGTAGAAGTAGTAGTAGTAGTCGTAGTAGTAGTAGTAGTAGTAGCAGTGGCAGTAGTAGTCGTAGCAATTAAACTAGTAGTAGCAGTAGCCGTAGTACTAGTAGTAGTAGTAGTAGTAGCAGCAGTAGTAGCAGTAGTAGTAGTAGTAGTAAAAGAAGTGGTATAAGGCCGCTTCGTCTTATGTTTACCAGTATTACTCAGAGTAGTAGTCTTTTTATTACTATTACTAGTGTTCGCAGTAGTCGTATTAGTATTAGTATTAGTATTAGTATTAGTATCAGTATTAGTATTAGTAGTAGTAGTAGTAGTAGTAGTAGTAGTAGCAGTAGTAGTAGTGGTAGTGGTAGTAGTAGTAGTAGTAGTAGTAATCATACTATCATTATCATTCTTGCTATTCATAGTAGTATCCTTACTATGTTTATGAGTATTAGTATGCGTCTGCTTCATAGTCTTAGTAGTCGCAGTCTCCTTATTAGTAACATCATCCTCATCCCCCTATTCCGCATCATATTACTCCTCCTCATACTTCGCTTCCTCCTCCTCCGCCTCCTCCGCCTCCTCCGATTCATATTCCTCATCCTCTTCCTCCTCCTCCTCCTCCTCCTCCTCCGCCCCCGCCCCCGCAACCTCCTCCTCCTCATCCTCCTCCTCATCATCCTCATCCTCATCCTCCTCCTCCTCCTCAGTCCTGCCTCCCTCCCTCCCTCCCTCCCTCCCTCGTCCCTTCCTCCCTCCCTCCATCCCTCCCTCCCTCCCTCCCTCCTCCCTCCTCCCTCCTCCTTCCTCCCTCCTCATTCCTCCCTCCTCCCTCCTCCCTCCGCCTCCTCCTC